TCATTTTTACTAGGGATGGGCATGACACAAGACCTAAATCCATTGTGTTCTGACTCGATCCGATCCTATTAGATCGATTTTTTTTAAATTTGAGTTAGGGTTGAGTCAAGTTCGAATTTAAGGTAAAAATATCTAACTCGGCCTGGTCTTAAATATAATGCAATTCTACCATATATTTAGAGATAATTACAATAATATCATTCTCTATCTTTCTTTTTTTCAATTAAATCTCTATTTTTATTGAATAAAATTAATATTTTTTTATAAATGTATTTATTTTGAGTCGGATCAGAACAGATCCAGATTTTATCTAAAAGAATAGGTCAGGTTCAGATTGGGTAAAGTCACTTTAAACCCGATCATATCAAGTTTAGAGTAGGGGAGATATTTTCAGGTTGACCGAAAAATTAATTCAACTCAACCCATATATATCCTTAATTTTTACTAAGAAATATATTTTTTTACATCTAAATAAACTATTAGTTTATCAGTATATTTTGTTCATGAGAAATAAGACATATTTTCGAAGGTACAATTGATATTAACTATTGATATACATATGTACGTAGGAAACATCAATTATTAGGGTACGTTAAGTTTATGAATCATAAGATTATTTTGAGAAATATGATTTTTAAAATATAAAAAAATGTATAACACTTTCGTTTGATTCTAAAAAAATATAGGTTGTTATACGAACCAATCAACCTCGGTGGTAAAGGGATTGTTGTTATTCCTTGAAGTCTCAGATTCAAGCATCGTGAATATTAGAGGTGTGAACATTCAATGTCAAATGGTTGACAGTTATCTTTTAACAGATAATACATTGTATTTACCTCAAATTAATAAAAAAGAAAATATACGTTATTTTATTTTCATTTTCTTAAAAAATATAAAACATCAAAGAAAACATGTTTGGTTGTGATTAGAAAATGATTTCTAAAAAATAAAAATAAAACAAGTAAAAATATAAAAAATAATTTTAGGGACCATTTAGTTTTAGAAAATATAAATTATTTTCATTTTCTTAGAAAATAGAAAACGTTGAAAAAATGTTAGGTTATAAAATTAAAAAAAAAAAAGATTTTTAGAAAAAGAAAACAAAAATAAGTGAAAATATGAAAACATAAAAAAATGTTTTCAATATTTTCTTTAAAATTGTTTTTTAATATTTTAATAATTCTTTATATTTTGTATTTTTAATTTAAATAACTTTGTAATTTTTTTAAATAAATAAGTCCTCAAACTATCCAAAAAATCAATTACGCTGTCAAACTTAGCTAAAAAATCAATTAAGTACATATAACACATCATCATCTATCTTGTATTGTCACAGCATTATCATAAATTATCACATCAATATTGTATATTATCATATAAGTTTGTGAACTATTATGAAAGCATCGTGACAGTCAATGTTTGATTACGTTCTTTCAAGGGTTAGATTAATATTTTCAGTGCAAAAAAAAAGTTCAAGGGCTACATTAATTATTTTTCTAAAAGTTTGAGGGCCTCAATTATCATTAAACATATTTTTTTATTGACACTATTTGTGTGCTCTTGCTTATAACAATATTCTAGCATATTTTTAAAATTTAATTTATGTCCAATATACAATATTATGAAATTTTTCATCAACTTTATTGTTTTATATTTGTATAACTCACATGTTAAATTAATGTAATGATTTTTTGATAATTATATTTTAATAACTATTTATTCATTTCTATTTTTAAAAATTAGATATTAAATACATTTTACTATTTTATTTTTGGATTCAAGTTTTCAATTATATTAACCAAACATGTTTTCTAATTTTCAAAAAACTAAAAATGAAAACTATTTTCTAAAAACAAAAATTGAAAATAAAAATAGAAAATATTTTCTAGAATCAAATAGACCCTTAGTATTTTTCATTAATTTTTTTAGAAATTTGAAAATTAAGAAAATTATGGGATTTGAAACCCTTAAACTTATGTAAAAAAATAAATTTAGTCCCTAAATTTTTTTTACACTCAATATGGTCCTTAAATTTATCTTTTAATGATTTATTTTTTTTAGTATTTTTATATTTAATGTGTTGAATATCTTAATAATTATTTATATTTTATATTTTGAAATTAAATAATTTCTTTATTTTTTTAAAAAATTAAATAAATCCTCAAAGTTTCTAAAAAAATCAAGTATGCCCTCAAACATAGTTAAAAACAAATCTACCATATTACCGTCTATCGTGTACTGCTACAACAGTATCATAAACTATCACATCAACATTGTAGATTGTCATGTAAGCTTCGTGAACTATCTTACAGGCATCGTGATGGTCAACATTTGATTATGTTGGTTAAAGGGTTAGATTGATTTTTTTTCTCATCTTAAGGATTACATTGAGTGTAAAAAATGTTCAGGCGGTCCACTAGTTTTTTCCCCAAAGGTTTGATGGCATCAATTACCCCTAATCATATTTTTTTATTTCACCACTTTTGTGTACACTTGTTTACAACAATATTTTTTTGTGTATTTTTAAAATTTAATTGATGTTCAATATGCATAAATATTATATTTTATCATAAACTAAAATCACTTTTCTATTATAAAATTTATTATAAACTTTATTAATATTTTCATAACTCCCATGTTAAATCTATATAATGAATTTTTTAATGATTATAGTTTAATTTAATTATTTAATAAATATTTTTTATTTTTATTTTAAAAATTAGATACAAATATGTTTTCATTATTTTAATTTCTAAAATCAAGTTTTCATTTATATTAATCAAACTTTTCAAAAAAACTCAAAATGAAAATTATTTTTTAAAACAAAAAATATATATATTTTTAAAATAATTAAAATAATTTCTAAAAACAAAAAAAATTTAAAACCAAAAATGCCAATACTTTATTGAAAAATGTTACATCATCTTGTTTGATTTATTTGATAAATGTATTAGATTAGAATATTTTATTAAATATATATATATATATAAGATTTATGAAAGTAAGTTTTATCAAATTGTTTTTTTTTTGGATAATCAATTTCATTACCCAAGAAAACAGAATTCTGCTACAAAAAAAAAACCAACTCATTACAACACATCATCCATCTAATAGAAAAGCATTACCAAAGAGAACAGATGCAACAAAGGCTAAACAAAGGCTAACAAGGAACAGAGAAAACAACATCACAATTATGAAATACCCCAGCTAACACAAAGGGCAATGTTCCTAGAGTCACTTCTGTTAATTGGACAACCATCGAGTCGAATCTGGATATCAGTTTTAATGCTCAGCACGATATCACTCATCGGCCTAAGCAATCCACCATACAGTCTGTTGTTCCTTTCTCTCCATATGACATACACATAGCTTGTCAAAGCAAGCTTAAACACTCTCGTGAGAAGGGACTTTCCTTTAAGGCAGTGAGCAGCCCATGAAAGCTCGCCTTCCCAGTGGCTTACTCTTCGGTTAACTCCACAGAGCAGAAGGATGGCCTTCCACAGGCTTTTAGCATAATCACATTCAAAGAAAATGTGATTTCTAGTCTCAGGCACCAAATCACAGAAGAGACATCGATCATTCTCTATTACTAGTCCCATTCGCATCAGTCTAACCCGGGTGGGAAGCCTATCCAAAATGGCCATCCACAGAATTATGCTGTGCTTAGGGATGCGCCCGAAAAACCAAACCAGATGATGCCAAGCAACCTTTGGAGCCATGATGCGCAAGTCCTCCCATATCTGCCTAGTATTGAGGGCGCAATCACGGTTAACAAAGAGATGATTAACCGAATGTCTCATCTTCAACAGCTTTTTGAAATTCCAGCTAGCATCAGTAGGAGGAACCATATGCCAAAAATCTGCATTTTTAATAACATAAGACTGAGTCCAAGCCACCCACAAGGAACCCTCATCAGCCAATAAGTTTTGAATCAACCTCACAGAACAAGCCCTATTTCATCCTTGTATATCAATAACACAAAGGCCCCCTTCAGACTTTGGAAGACAGATCTGTCTCCAGCTCACCCTAGCTCCCTTAGCAGGAAGATCAGCACCCTTCCAGAAATACCGAGAGCATAACTACTCAACTTTCTTGATTACCCCCCGAGGAAACATAACTTGCCTACACCAATAATTAGTTAGGTTGAACAAAACAGAACGCACTAACTGGAGCCTGCCAGCAAAACTCAAATGTTTATTTTCCCACAAGGTCAACCTAGCTCTGATTTTATCAATGAGACTAAGGCAGTCTCTCTCCGTGAGCTTCTTAGTCACCAAAGGAATTCCTAAGTAGCGAACAGGGAGTTTGCCTAATTTAAAACCAGTGCCCTCACTGATGGCAGTGCATTGAGCAGCAGTTAACCCCGCTACAAAAATCTCACTTTTGTTAATATTGAGCTTCAACCTAGACATGAGATAGAAAACTTCCAGAACAGCTTTGACACCACTAATAGAGTCAACAGAGGGCTTGCAAAAGATGAGGAGATCATTTGCAAAGCAAAGATGGGTTAAACCAATCCTTTTACACTTGGGATGATAATTGAAAATTCCCTTAAGAGCAGCCAGGTTCAATAGATTTGATAATACATTCATGGCAAGCACAAAGAGATAAGGTGAAAGGGGGTCACCTTGCCTAACACCACGAGCCCCCCTAAAATAACCAACTAAACTGCCATTTATTACAATCGAATAGCTAGGCTTGGTAAAACAAGCAGAAATCCAGCTAATAAATCTAGCAGGAAGGCCAAGAGTAGTGAGAACAACAACTAAGAAATCCCAATTGAGAGAATCAAACGCTTTTTGTAGATCCAACTTCAAGGCACATCTAGGGGAAATATTCTTTCTACTATAGCCCCTAACAACCTCTTGGGCAAGGAGGGTATTATCCACTATACTCCTACCTTTAACAAAAGCAGTTTGATTCTTTAAAACCATGCTAGAGAACACAGTAGACAATCATCTCACTAAAATCCTTGTAATGGTCTTATATATAACTGTGCATCATGATATAGGCCTGAAGTCCTTGACAAGGCTAGGATTTGGCACTTTAGGAACCAAGACTACAGCAGTGGCATTAAAGGCAGGGAGAATAAAAGATATATCAAAGCAATACCTGATAACAGCAACAAAATCCACACCCACTATGGACCAAGCTTTCTTGAAGAAGAATGGATTAAAGCCATCGGGCCCAGGAGATTTATCATTGCCTTGCCCCCAAATGGCTTCTTTAATTTCAGCATCAGAAAAATCTCTGCACAGTTCGCCGTCAGCGCCTGTAGGGAGTGAGAAATTAAGAAGACCCCTAATAGTAGAAACAGTGATGCCCAGGACATTATCATCTACCAAACCCAGCTGATTCTGGAAAAATTTAATCACCTCAGCCGAAATACCATCAAAAGAGTCCAATCTATTCCCCGTTTGGTCATAGAGAACTCTGATTGTATTACTCTTTCTTCTGCTAGCCACTACTGAGTGAAAGAATTTCGTCCCTTGGTCACCCTCCTTGATCCAATTGGCTTTAGCTTTTTGTTTGTAAAATAGTAACTCAGCCTTTTTAAGATTTTTTAGCTCCCTTTCTACTTGAAGTTCATTCTCAATGCTGCTGCCAGCAGAACCCCATTGAAGATTAGCAAGCTGAATACTAAGGAGTTCCTCTCGCTTCTGTTTCACCTTATTTGAAATGTCATTGAAATGAGCTTTATTTAAAGCCTTGAGAGAGCACTTCAACCTCTTCAATTTTTGGAACAAAACCTGAGCTGGATTTCCAACCATTGGTTGCTGCCAAGAATCTCTCACAATGTTTAAAAACCCCGGGTGCAAGGCCCAAAAGTTGAAAAATTTGAACGGTTTTAGCCTTGCAGTAGGGGCTGCCTTGTGGAGCCACACAAAGGTAGGGCAGTGATCCGAGTCCCCAGGGGCCTGAAACTCCACTGCAGAATCTAGGAAAACAACGATCCACCTTGGGTTTATCATGACACGATCAAGCTTACGAGCCAAATAAGTATCCTGCTGTTTATTTGACCAAGTGAAGCAAGGACCATTGTATGTAACATCCCAAAATACGGGTTAGTGACTAAATTGTAAAATTTCAGAGTTTGGTGATTTAAGTAGGATATTTGTACAGTCCAATGATTTGTTCGGAAATATTTCCTGAAAGTTATTAGTAATTATCAAAGGAATTAAAGGGCAAAATGGTCATTTAGGATGAAAGATATTTTTTTATCTCTTTATTAAGAGATAAACGTGAGTTGGGGAAAGAGTTTCTGAAAACTCTTTCTTCTTCCTTTCTTCTTCTCCAACGTGCAGGGCAAAGGTAAGGTTTTCTAAATTGTTGGTTATTTGTTAAATTAAAGATTAGGTTTTGATCATTAGATGATAACTAAGCTTAAGGAAAGCTTAAGTTGTCTTATAATCAAAAGATGAAGAAGTTATAAGAGATTAAAGAAAATGAGTTTTTATATGAAATCATGGAAAAGAGTTGATAAGTTGAATTTAAAGTTAAATTTGACTTGTCATCATCCTAAATTAAGGAATATGAAGTGTTAGAATTGTATTTAGAACATATTGAAATTTGAGTATGATTCTTGAATTTCATATGAAGGATAGGATTTTGAAGTTATAGATGATTTTCATGGATATAAGTTGGTTTAAGTGATGGTAGTTGAATTTAATGACATGATAGGGGTTTAAAATAGAAGAATTAAGTGAAGAATTGATGATTTTCGGGGTTAAAATACCAATTCTGGTTAGAGGGAACCGATACCCTATGAAGGGAATCGATTCCCCCTCTTGGACGAAATTTTTCCAGAATGTCCAGGGGGTATCGATTCCCCTGGGGGGGGGAATCGATTCCCCCTAAAGGAAAAATGAAATTAGGTTCAATAAATATGGCTTAAGTTGTTAACATCAAGTTTAAGGTTTAGGCTTCTGATAGTTGTTTTGAAATGTTATATTTATGTAGATATTGAGCCTAAACAAGTTCTGGAATAATCAAAGGATTAGAATTGATTCAAATCAAACAAGGCTAAGGTGAGTGCAATTTTTATTGTACTTATATTATTGAACGAACATTGGCTTGCGATGAGCCAGTGATGGAGTTACTACGGTAAGAAGTGACTCCTAAATTGTTATTTGATTTCATGATTTTTATATGTGCATGAATACATGAAATGTGTATAGATTATTATAAATGTTACATGATATACATGCATACATGATTATGCTATGAGACATGACCATGTGAAATGAGAAAAACTATGTGATATATGAAATGACATATGAATATGCAAAATGTGATACATGTGATATGATATGAAATACATGGTTACACATACATGTGGTATGTAACAGAAGAGAAAGAACAAGTGATGAGAAATGTATTCATCATAAATGCCCATAGTATATGATACGAGAGTTATAGGTATAGTTGGCATGCCAAGAGTCGAGGGTTCTGTAGTCCTTCGGGACGTAGTGGTCCTACGGGACATATATAGCAGTCCTTCGGGACGAATACTGAACTAATGTTCGGTGCCCCATGAGGGAATTTATACGAGCTGTGGTGACAGCATTTGTGCACAACCTCAATGAACTCACATACCTCTATTCTCAATATACATGGGCAATACAATTGAAAGATAATTAAAGTGAAAGTGGCACAAGAAGGTAAGTGTTACATGTGCTTGACATGCTTATATATGTTATCATGTGATAGATACATGCATGTTGAAATGTCATGATCAAATGATAAGAATGCACATTCATGAATTTGTTGTTAAATGTTTATTTATTGCCTCACTAAGTCTATGACTTAGCGTGTAAGTGATTTACACGTAGGTACCAAGAAACGTGAAGAGCAAGAATAGAAGTAGCAAGGACGGTATTATTACTTGAAGATCAGATCAGAAGTAATCAACAAGTATGTATTTTGGCGTGTATAGAGTGTTGGCATGTAATAAGTCGTTAATTATGAATACTCTGATCAAACTTGTATTTTGTGGTCTCTCTGATGTAAATTAAAGTATTTTGTTTTAAACAAAGTTTTAAATTACCCGGGGTATTTTCTTTAAGTGTCCAGATTTGAAAAGTCAATGTGACACCTCGGACTCGTATTCGGGTCGGGTACGGGTTGGGGTGTTACATTGTAGGGGTGATCAAAAATCCCCAAATTATCCACACAATTCCGAAATTCAGAACTGTCAACCAAAGTCGAGGAACTAACATAAACCAAGCTTTCCTCGACATTCAAGATGATGTTGAAGTCACCGCCTATAAGCCATGGAAGATCTCCCACAATACATTCCAGAGAGTTGAGTTGACTCCATAACTGCCTCCTACCATTTCCCTCATTCAAACCATAAACAGCAGTAAGAATAAAAGTGATACCCCCAATAGCACATCTAACAGAAATACGTTGGTCAAAAACAGAAACAACTGAGCAATCCATACATCTACGCCAGAGAACCCAAATTCGACCGTTGGCAGCATGATTATAATTACAGTAAGCTTCTCAATCACTAAAATTTCGACTTAGAATAGCCAAAGAGCTATCAACCTTAACTCGAGTTTCCAATAAGCAGAGAACATCAATTTGGCAATTTGCAGCCCACCTCATCACTTTACCTTACTTGCGAGGATTATTAAATCCTCGAACATTCCAGTAGCAAATTAACATAAGGGATTTAGGGAAGAAGAGGCACAACCTCTATCCTCCAGCTTCATAACTTTGTCAACCTGCTCCTTCTTCTTTAATTTCAAATCCTGGACCAGTTTGGCCACCCCAAGCGAAGCTGCTCGTTACTTCTTACCCGAGTCCTCAACCGGCTGCAAATGTTCAGGATTAATGGAGGCCAGAATCTCAAATTTATTCTTGGAGCCCCCCATAGTAGTTTTACCTGGCCTACCTCTTACACGCTTCAATGGGGGGTTGCTACCAAGAGGACCCTCCTTAGTGATCTGTTTAGTGCCATCTTTAGCTCCATCCCTTGAAGCAGCTTGAGCCTTGTCTAAACAAGTATCAACAACACCTTCAGAATTATATGGATCAATCTGCTCAGTCTGAATGCTACCACCAGGAGCTACTATAGGATTTTGCTTCTCAGCCTCAACTATACTATTATTTACAGTATCATCTAGTTTAGCTTCATGTACTGTTTGCTTTACCCTCCATTCTTGATTCTTCCCCAGAGGGCAGAATTTAACAGAATGCCCAAATCTCTTAACACAAGATGAAGGCCTCCAAGGAACAACAACCTTAATTCGGGCAATAGAATCATCGCAAAGCATTAAATATACAATCGCATAAACATGAACTGTAATATATTCAAACTATATAATAAATGATATGCTAAATTAAAGGGAATAATATATGTGAACATAATATTCTTATATATATGGCGTGTATGCATTTAATACAAAATATTAATGTAAAAGTCAATAATCATTAAAAAGGTAACGTATATAATATTAGGAAGAAAAGATTCGAATAAATAAAAATTATAAAAGATTAAATGGAATAAATCTAAAATTAAAATGGGGTTAGATTGAAATAAAATAAAAACAGTAGCCAATTACAAATAAACATGGCATTAAAATGAATGCAAACATGGTATTAAAATCATAAACGAAGGACCAAAATAAACCCCTAGTGATTATAATGTAAAAACAAGGAAATAATAAAAGGACTACTTATGAATTAATCCCTAAACTATAATATAATCTAATTATTAATCTAAAACCTAAACTAAACAGAAGGAAAGAGCAATCATCTTCTCCCCTTTTTCATATATTCGTTTACTGCTTTAATAAATAAAATAAAAAATTTGTTGGAAAAATCAAATGGAGGAAGAAGAAACACTTTTAGTATGTTTGTATTCTTTTCTTTGAATCTGAAAAAAAAAACCCTCGTACATTTCGTTTCCTTTTTTCTTCTCCCTTTGATTACATGTGTTTGGCTTTTATAGCCAAATTTACAATGATTTTCAGTTGGTTATGCCTTGATTCTCGCAGGGAACAAGGGATGATGGGGTTGGTGTTGAAAAAAATGTGATGGTGGGTGTTGGTGTTGAAAAAAATGGGGTGGTAAGTGTTGGTGTTGAAAAATGGTGTTTACAATAAGCAAACTTAAACTTGCATTTTTATTGAGAGGACATGAAGATGAATCGAGTTAACTACAATTTTTGTTTTTTTGTACAAGTGATAATCATATTAGAGTCCATGCAATGGCCAATCTAGGAATATTTTATCGGATGGATAAATGTATATTAATAATATAAATTTTTTGTATAAAATATATTTAAATAAAATTTTAAAGTGGACAACTTTAATAAAATAAACTACCAATATAAATAAATTTAGATTTCAGAATGGACATAATCAAAACCTACTTCCGCCACGAGGAAAATAGGAGAAAAGTGTGTTCAATGGCACTTGCCATTCTTGTATTTGGCATAGCAAGGACACACTTCCTTGTTATCATAGGGCCTGCAGGCACACATCATCTCGATGCACACTTTGATTGATAATCTGAGTTTTTTCCATTAATAAATCAATTCTCAGAACATGAATTTTAATTTAAAATTTATATATTATATTACAGGTCATGTTAAAATTTATATATAGATGTAAAGATATATGTAAGAGGGTTATGATATACTTACATAATATAAAACTTTTTAGATTTAAGACCATTGAATGAATGAAAATAGATGACTAAGATTGACTCATTGCTTTTTGTTTAAGGGAATATTTTCTCATTTCCTACTATTAATCTCAGTTATATATTTTCACTCATCCAACGATTCTAAATATGTATAAAACTAAAAAAATTTACATAGTGTAACAAGATCTTGTCCCATTCAAATATATTTATGAATATGAATATTAATAAACTATATAAGTTACCTTGCCTTTGGACTTGGGCTTCAACATTGAATATCCCTATCTAAAAATTGTAGGGAAAAAAAAGAAATGATTAATTATTTCAGGAGAACATTTAAAAAAATGTTTATGATGAACATCACGTAAATTAGTCATAAAAATCATAAAATCACAAAACTCGGATAAAAGGAAAAGACAGAGAACATCAAGCAAAAATGTAGTCTTAGTGGTGACCATTCTCAATAATAAAATAGAAGAAGTTTTTATTCTTCTTCCCCTTTTATTTTATTTATGTGAGTTTTGGTTCCTTCCAATGCTAAAGGGATTTTATAAGCTGTTAGTATAAGTAACTTTTGGAAGCTAATTTTTAATCTTAGATAAGTTGACCATTTTTTAGGAAAATTTGCACGTATAAATTGGGTTTACCAATTAAATAGAAGTTCAAAGGTAAAATCCAACAATATATTTTGATAATGAATCTATAATTTTAGATGTTTTTTTATTGTAATATTTAGAAAATTTTAAATTCAAAAGAGTTTAAACGTAATTTTTTCAGTTAAAGATTAAAATTATGACCAACAACCAGTTGGACTAGTGGATGAAGCATTAGATTTCTTAAGAAATGTCGCAGGTTTGAATCCTGACGTTTGCGAATGGAGCAAACTGGTTTGAGAGGGTCACCCTTGTCTTTGCAGTACCCGATCTGGATTAGTCGGTCGGATATCAGTGATTAATTCAAAAAAATTAAAATTATGGATTAAGGGCGAAGCTATTTTTTTAGAAACCAAGGTTAAATAAATTATTTTAAGGGGTTAAAATATGTATGTGTTGTTTTGTTTTGATCTAAAATCTTATATTTTTCTAAAATATTAACCATATGGACTTTTATTAATTAAGAGAGAGGAACAATGCGTGAAACGACATATTGGGGTCATCTAAAAGAAATGATCAACCCTAATCTAGGCAACAAAAAGGCATAGTATTTATAGTTAGACAGTGGCAAATCTATAAATATTTTTTAGGGTGAGTACATATATAATAATAATAATAGAAAATTTTTCGTATGGTGTAAGTATAAATAAATTTTTAGAGTGGACACCAATAATAAAATGAACAATTAATATAAATAAATTTGGATTTCAGGAAACGCACGTGCTCACCCTAGATAAGCCATTCGTCTGCGACTGTAATCAGAAACAACAAGATCAAGCGCCCTTGGTCGAGCTCTTGAAAATGTGCCTCAGTCCTTTGTTGAAACTTCTCCTGGAATAACGCCAAACGTTCGATGATGGACTCTAATGATGATGTCGACGGTTAATACGTGGTGGTGATTTTAGTTGATATGCTTGATTTGGTCTAGGATTTTGTCCATAGCTGAAGTTCGGAGGATCCCTCCACCCAGGATTATAGGTATTTGCATTAGGATTATATTGTCTCTAAAGAGGTCTCAAAAAATTCCAAACTGCATTCACTTGTGCGATAGTTTCTTCTTGTAACATCGGACAACAATCCATGGGATGGTTTGACCTTGTGCATATTCCGCAAAGTCTAGTGGTACCTGTTTTGCCTGTAACAAGAGATTGAACAATATCATCCAACTTATCAATTTCATTTTCCTATGAAATTGTACTTATCTCGTGAACTCGACAAGTACGTTCACTAGAAGAGCCAATCTATTGAGAGTTAGTAGCCATGGTAGAAATTTGATTTTTGAGTCATATTCACAAGTGCTCCTCTATTATCTGCGTCAATCATCTTCATCTCCAAAGGAAGTAATCCTTCATAAAAATATTGGAGAAGAGTCTATTCAGTTAACCCGTGCTATGGAGAGCTAGCAAAGAGTTTCTTGAATCGTTCCATTAGTCGTATAATGACTTTCCATCCTTTTGTCGGATTCCTAAGATGTTTCGCCGTAATTCACTCGCCTTTGCCGCAAGGAAGAACCTATAAAGAAAAAGACGAGTCATGTCAGCCCAAGTAGTAGCAAAATTAGGCGGTAAGTAAAATAGTCAATCCTTAGCCAAATCGGTCAAGGAAAAAAAGGAAAAGCACGAAGTTTAATCTGATCCTCAGATATTCCATGTTGTTTCATGCTAGAGTAAACTATATGAAATTCAGTAAGGTGTTTGTGAGGATTTTCACTCGGTAATCCATGGAAAGTAGACAGAAGATGGATCAAGTCGGTCTTGAGTTCGAATGGTGTTTATCCATTCTAGAATACGATGCATAATGGTTTTTGTTTGGGAAGTTTCGTGGCTAATTGTTGGATTGTTAGATCAACCATAGAGACTGTTTCGTTATCGCGTAGGGATTCTGCGTCAGATGTTGTTTCAAGATCGAATGTTGCATCAAGAACTGGATCAAATAGGTTTCATTCTTGTTATTGTTGTTATTTTTTCCCTAAGTGTGCATGCATGTAGTCTTCATGCTAGCGCTTCTATCTCAGGTTCAAAATCAACTAGTTCACCCAGATTCTTCCTGGTCATAAATCAAAACAAACAATGGTGGTGTTTGTTTTTGCAGAGGTAAAATGTCTGCAGTCTGCGGACCACATCTGCAGGCATCTGCAGCAGAAGAGGTGGACCAAAAGTCTGTAGTCTGCAAGAAGAAGACTGTTTGTTTTTTAACGTCTGTAGACTGCTAAAATAAACTGAAATATAAATTAACTGATTTTTAAACTATACTCAAATAACCATTTTTGCTATTAAATTTTTAAAAATTATAAAATGTCATTAAATTTAATAAATTATTATAAAATAGTCACTATAATGTTGTAATAAATTATAAAAGTTTGATACTATAATAATTTTTTTATAGTATTTAGATAAATTTATTAATAATTTTATAATCTTTTAATAAATTTAATAAGTATTTTATAATTTTTTAAACTTTATTGACGAAAATGATCATTTGTATATAACTTAACGATATCTAATATATTTTATTTGAAAAAATATATTAAACTTAGTAAAAAATATTATACAATTAAACTTAGTAAACTTTTTTTTTTATATAAAAACTTAGAAAATCACGGGGACATACAATTATTCGCATTAAAAGACAAAATAAATGTTTTAATAAAAAAATATTCACACTATTGAAAAATCTGATTCTGGTCATTTAATTCTGGTAAAGTACGATAGTCCTTTTATACAGAATAAATAAATAAAAAACAAATAATATATTTTTTCTAAATAGAAAAATACTAATTGATGTATATTATATGGAGTATATATTATATATATTTTTTGATGTTAATAGAATCGGATTGTACCACTTGAATAAATTAAGATGATTTAAATGATATTATAAAATCGAGTATTGATATATTTGTGAATCGATAATAATTGAGAATTAAAATATAATTTTTTTAACAATTACATAAACCGAAACAAACAGATTGAATT